GGTCCCCGGGAAGGCCGGGGGCTTCCCAGCTTCGCGCGCGCTTGGAACCGAAATAAACGAACGGCCCGGTCCGGTTCCCTGCCCCGGTACGCGGTGACACGGGGTTGGGCGGGAGGCGCGATCCCGGCCCGTAGGAAGCCCCGCGCTTGGCCCGGAGCCTGTCCCGGTTGTGGGGCGTTAAGTGACCCAAGGTGACAGCGTAGGCCGGGCCTTGTGACGTCCCCTCGTGACGTAATTTTTAACAGCACGGGTGTGACAGCGCCTGTGTGACACGGCTTTCCACGTCGGGGACCGGCCTGGTAGATGGGGGCCGTGCCCATCGCAATCCTGTCGAGAGGCTGAAGGACACCTCGGAGCCGCCGCTCCTGGATGGGGCAACCAAACGTCACCTGCTGCCAGCACGGGGGGGACGCTTTCTCCCCCAAAAGTTGCCCCCGCTGACAGGGAGAGGCTGTGAGGGACAGCGGGACTGCCAGGCCGGGAAACGGAAATATTCAGCCATGGGATGAAAATCCCCAAGGATCCCAAAGATCCCCAAGAATAGCAGGGTTAGCGCCTCAGAGGCTCGCGTTCGTTCATCCCCAGTAACAACAAATAACAACCACGGGCTGGCGCTTCCTTTGTCTGCCAGCCGAGATAAAAATAGGGGAGGCAAAGGACAGAGCCGCAGAGCAAGGCAGCGCTTCTGACACACGACCATTTGCCTAACGCACAACATCGAGTGCTCCAGGCTGCCGGGCACCTTCCTCTCCTGCAGCAAAACAAAGGCATTCCGAAGCGATCGCCTCCACACCAGCCATCAGCTGCACCCAGAACATGTTCACGGAGGAACAAATGCTGGGAGGACAGAGCAGGGATGGCCCGAAACACACCCATCTCTGATTTTCAGCAAAAGGAAAGGACATCGCTCCACTGCCCTCGGCCCAGCACTGTCTGGAAGGGAACCACATCCATTTTAATACCCAGTGACTATTCCAGAAGCAGCTGGAGATTCTGGCCGAGCTCAGGGCTGCGCGTAAGGGGATAACAGGAACGTCTCAGCCCTTTCACACCCTGAGCAGATCAGACAATAAGAAGAAAGAAGGCAGAATTGACTTAATATACAGACGGTGAACCATCTGGTGAAGCAAAGTCTCCAAGTTCACTCAGGAAGCCTGGGAAGTGTTGGAAACTGGCCGCAGATTTCCCTAATTTCCAGTCCAGGGCCCCATCAGGCAAATTGAAACATACTCTAAAGGAGTCACATGCATTTTTTTTTTTTTTCCCCAGAAGTTCTTTGATGAATGGTTCCAAATCAAACAATGAATTAACAACGGCTGCTACCCACAGCTCCACAAGCACAGCAGAGGTTGTGGAAAGGTGGAAGCTGGGTGTGCTCAGGGAGGACTGAGGCAGCAGGCGGAAACACTGGGGCAATGACAGCCCCGGAGCTGTAGTTTTCCAGGAAAGGAGTTGGCTCATCCCAACTCTGGGAAAGTGCCGTGGCATTTACAAGTGACGCAGATGTGAGTAAGGGCGAGACAGGGATGGCAGGCAGGGTCTCAGTGGAAAATACACAAGAATGACATTGAAGATACTCAATGAGGGGGAAAGACAAAAGAAAAAGAGACAGTACGTGAATGAGGAGGGAATGAATGGAGGAGGAACGGGCCAGCCACGTGTATCAGGGACCCACGCAGCTCCTAAGCTCCCTTATACTGGTGAGATGTTTTGTGCAGAACGGCACAGCCATTGACCTCTGAGCCACAGGTTCAGGGGGGCTCTTTGTTAATGGCACCCCAGGGGCACGAGGTACGGGACAAGGCTGCATTACCCGGTGATGCCAGAGGCTCCATCCATGAACATCAACTTCAGCTCTGCACAGAAGCGGTCTCTGCAGACAGCGGTCTGTTACAAGATATTGAGACCAAATGAGAATCCCATGCTTCTTTAACAGGTTAAAGTATACAAGTAACTCCATGAATTATAAAAGCTGTTGTCTTCCTATGTTCTCACACTATGACTGTCAAATTATTCACAAAAGGCTACGTTTTATACTAACTTAAGGAGCTGCGGTGCCCAGAATGTATCTCATATGCTAGTTAAATAACTGCTGCTTTCACAGTAACAGAACCCCCTGCACGCAGAGGGCCTTTGCCTACACAATCATCCTGACTGAAAAACCACTCAATGCCCCTTTTCTGGGTTTCGAAACTGTGCAGATGAGCCTTCCCCCGCTAGCTTCACTCCAGCACCTCTAACTGCAGTTTCTTAATCTCTGTTAATTGTAGCCCATAAGACTTTTTCTTACCTCTTCAACACTGCGTAACATCACCTGCCACGCAGGAGTTAATTGTTCTCTCCAAAGCCCCGCACCACAGTGTGGGGCAAACATGACAAGCACACCAAGGGCTGGCCTCCCCAGCAGGCACCGCCAAGGCCCTGTACCGCAGGGCAGGGCCCCAGAGGCGGGAGGGGGAAGGCTCAGCTCCCGCACAGGCACCGCCAAGGCCCTGTACCACCGGGCAGGCCTGTGAGCATAGGCAG